ATCATCTACCCTTTAAGCAATTGCTACCATAAACTGATTAAGCAGAAATCACTAATAACCTTTAGAACTTCACCCAGAAACATTTTTAATGCTTCATATACCTACTTATGGCATGTTCTCTGTCAAATACTAAATGAAGATTATGTCCTTTAATTCTTATAGATGTATTTTGTATCCGTATTAATATGCTTTCCTCACAGATGAGGAGGTATTAACCAATCTGCCCAAAGTCACATGGCTAGTAAGTAACAGAGCCAGGATTTAACACCTCCATCTATATTCAGCCAATTATTTATCCTTATCCTTTTATTGTGACCTCAAAGATTTGTATTGCTTCATGTTGATTATGATACTATTATTAAATTTGAAAATATTTGCTTTCTTTCAACACTTTTCAGACCATAAATGTCAATCATCTTTTTTTTTCCTTAAAACCCTAGATAAGAGTGGTAACTTCAGTCCCACCTCACAAAAGCACTGGATTTTTACCAAATTCAGGGGCAAACTTCTCAAGATTGTTCTTACTCTTCTTTCTCCCCCTCTGCCTTTCTTTATCCTTCTCCCTAATTCTCTCTCCTTTTCTAACACTTCCTCCTCCAAATTCTCAGTCCTTTCATTATCTAATTTCTTGGTACTTCAGCGACTCCTGCCTTCTGTATCAGCTCTAAGCTCTGAGTCCATCTCAGTGGCAAGCAGTTCTCACTGGACTAAAACACTAAACCCCAAGAGCCTAGAAAGCTGCTTAGGCAAGTAAGGTAAATGACTAAGTTGGGTTTCTCCTCTGTGAAAAAATAATTCACATAGGCACAGAATTAATGCAGTTCCTTAACTAATGTTTTCCATTGTTTGAAGTAGGTATTTTTATCCCCATTTTATAAATGAATAAAATGAGACTAAGCAAGATTAAATAATTTGCCCACGATCCCACAGCTAGTCAGCTTCCAAACCAGCGCTTAATCTCAATCTGTTCCTTTTAAAATCCATGTTCATTCTACATCACCAGCCTGTGACCTAGTATGAAAAGACCACTATTACGGTCCTTGGGGAATAACCAGACTAGAGAGAGTCTACACCAAAAAGAGGCTCCTTAAAAATTCTAATCAAGAGCAGAGATTTGCTCTCCTCGGATGATCTTTCATAGTGGCTTGAAGCCTGCATTAAAACTCCTAGGAACATTCCTGTGTCATGTTATTAAGAGGTCGCTTTTAGCAAAAGAGAAAAAGACGTTGGGGTAGGACTGACTTCTCAGTGAGTCACACATGCCCAGAAGTTAGTGGTTTTCTAAACGTCTTATAAAACTCACACTTTTACCAGTGAGGTTGAACTTCCTGATTTTTGTCAAAACATTCTTCCAGAAGCTGATAGAACACCAATATGTCGGTTGCCTATACTTTCCTTTGAAACTAAATCTGACCCACCTTCTCTCCATCCCCTGAACAGCAACATTTTTGAGTCGTAGTGACATCTACCTTTTGTTCCATTCTCTTACATTTTGAATTGTCCAAAAGTGGACGATTGCTCAATGCCAATTCAGAGTATCTTTTCCCTGGTTTATTGTTTCCAGTTCTGCATGTGGTTTTTCTTCTTTATAAAATCCAGTGAGATGGTAGTTTAGGGCTGAGTTTTCCACCCAAGTACTTTCGTTTTCTCCCCCGATATGAAGTAAGTTTTCGGTAATCCATTCAGAATCCTCAGGCTAGTGACTAATGCTTATGACTAATACTGTCACGCTGACTGTTGGTACTGAAGCTGAAAACTTGCTCCTATAACAAAAGGGAAAATGCCTTTGGTCATTTTCATCATCAGAACTCTTTGTCTCCTTAGGATTCTTCGCCCCAGGAGCTAACAATTGTTCTGAATAAGTACCATGAGATTCTCAATTAGTAATATGTGAGTTATCTCTGATAAGCAAATTAGGGAAATTAATGAAAGAGGCACTAAGGAAAATCATTGCAAGGAACAATTAGCATGGCGTTCCTTCCTGCCTCTTCTATTCAAAAGCCAGCAGCTACATTCTTTATAAGTGGTACGGTATGTGTTTGCTGTTGATTCCTGCAATCTAAGCTCTCAGGAGTACAGTTTGTCCCCTAGCAAGAAGATAATAGCTGGCACAAACCAAGAAATAAAGAGCCAAACAAAACGTGACCCCATGCTGTGCTAAACTCACTGAGCCCTACACGATTAGACATTACTCCACAGTACAGAAGCCTCAGCTCTTACCGGCTCATGTTGGGCTGCAGACCACTGTTGTCAACTCCACCAGAAACTAATATTGCAGTTACACCATTGCCTGGCTTCAGTAAACTCTTGGGGAGAGTTAACAAAGGAGGCAGAGGGACAGGATCCTGAGAAACAATAATAATTTGTTTAGTGTAGAGCTCCTAATCATCATACTTCAAAGCTACAGGAGGGATCGGTGAAGAGTAGCAGGAAAGAGTTTGATTTCCAAACATATTGAGCATTGTGTGTTTTACACTTGTTTATTTTTAATATTTCCGATCAGCATCTTTACTGTTCAAGTTGATGAAGATAGAAGACATATGCAAAACCTGACTGTGGAACAGGCTATTGAAGTTAAAAAGCTTTTTGTTGGGGGTGCTCCACCGGAATTTCAACCTTCACCACTCAGAAACATTCCTCCTTTTGAAGGCTGTGTGTGGAACCTAGTTATTAACTCTGTGTAAGTCAGTCTCCTTGCTACTTTTTTTTTTTTTTCGTTTTCGTATGAGAAGCCCTGTTGCTTCCACACTATCCAAACCCGCGTGGTCAAAAAGCTAGGGAAAGGAATTGATGATCTTCAGGTTGCATTTAGAAAATTATACTGATGGCCCTCAAAAAAAGGGGGGAAAGGGAGGACCTATTTTAATTTTAAAGAAGCAAGACAATAAAACCTTAGATAAAATATTATAAATTATATTCCGTTAGCCCCATGGACTTTGCACGGCCTGTATCCTTCAAAAATGCAGACATTGGTCGCTGTGCAGATCAGAAGCCCCCTGAGGATGAAGATGGAGCAGTTCCTGCTGAAATCATTACCCACCCAGAGCCAGTTTCCACACCTACCTTGGCTGCACCCACCCCGGTTCTGGTACACGTAAGTGTTTCTATTTCCATCGCTTTCAATTTGTTATCCAGTATTTTTAATCGTTTTCTGAAGCATTGTCATTCAGGATATCTAGTATCTTCTACTGCTAGAATTGAAAGAAGGGGAACCTGTCCATGAAAAACTATTCTCTTCATGTCTTCCTTAGATTCTTTTATTTATGTATCTGCTCTTCTGTCAATTTTCTATAAATATAATAGTACATGTTTTCAGTTGAAAAATTTAAAAGCACATAAACTTCTAAAGATTCAAGAATAAAACCCACCCAAAATACCACCACACAGAGCCAACCATATTTATTTTCAGTCCCTTTGATGGGCATTTTATATAGAAGATCTCGTACCTGTATACAGCTTGGTATACTGTTCTTAAATACTGGTAATCTATAATTAAAATTGTTTCTAAATATCATGTAAGTGCATGTATAAGTATATATGTAAAATGAACATATTAACAGCACATTTGTCAAAGAGTTACTATGAGGATTAGAAAACATAATGGTTTTAAAGTGCACAGTGCCTGGCATATGTTGTTGCTGTTGTTAGGTGCTGTTGAGTCAGTTCTGACTTACAGCGACCCTATGTACAACAGAAAGAAACCCTGCCCAGTCCTGTGCCATCCTCACATTCGTTGTTATGCTTGAACCAATTATTGCAGCCACTGTGTCAATCCATCTCTTTGAGGGTCATCCTCTTTTTCTCTGACCCTGTACCAAGCATGGTGTCCTTCTCCAGGGACTGGTCCTTCCTGATAACATGTCCAAACTATGTGAGATGTAGTCTCACCATTCTTGCTTCTAAGGAGCATTCTGGCTGTATTTCTTCCAAGATAGATTTGTTTGTTCTTTTGGCAGTCCGTCGTATAGTCAATATTCTTCATATAAATGGGGTAATTGTAAGAATTAAATGAGATAATGTATGTAAAAGTGTTTTGAAAATTGGAAGAAGCACACACATATAGATAATGTGAGGAATCCCTGCCTTTACTGAGTAACTATCATGTGTCCAGTACTCTGCTGGGCATGTTACATCCATTATTTCATTTGGTCTCTGTAAGCTATTTTATTGTAAGTATGACTAGTCCCATTTCAAAAAAGAAAATACCTAAGATCACCTAGATATCATCTGAAAGGCCATGAGTCACATGTTGATTTCCTCACAAGGCATGGCTAAGATCTGCCACATGGATTTCAAAATGTTTCATCCACCATTTTATGATGTCATCTCAGGCTAGATCTTTCCCCCAGCAAAGGGAAGCTAATGATCCTCCTTTTCTTCTCCCTTTATACCTTAAAGCCATCTGTTCCCTAGACTCAAGAATGTATTTTCAATTGAAGAATTCAAAAACATCATGAGACTTTTTTGACCAGTGATCCTAATGTCCATTTATAAAAGTTTCCATAAAAAAATAGATCCCAAGTTTTAAACTAACTTAGAATTATAAATTATTATTCACATGAGCCCTAGAGATCATCTGATCCTATTGCTATCTTAATACATGAATTCTTTTTATATGACACTTGATATGGACTTGCAGCCTTTGCTTGAACACTTATAGAGACAAGGGTTTTACAATGTTATGATAAGGCCAACTCTAGCTGTTGGAAAGCTATGGGTCATATTGAAGCAAAACTGCCTAGAAATAAAACTCTATGTAATGATTGTGTTTCTATAGCCAAACACGTTAAATTTATATCTTCTTTTGCCTGATAAACCATTAAGGATTGAAAATAGCTAAATCTTCTGCTTCCCTAGATTAAATATTCCATTAGCTTAGGCATTCTTCATATGACCTAATTTCTAACTTCATATCCCCACCAATCAATATTCTTTAGTATGAAATATTCCTTTCAAAATATGGCACCTAGAATAGACCATAATACCCAAAATGTAGTGACAAGTACAGGGGACAGTAGGACCCCTCCCTCCCTTGGTCTGTCATCGTATTTCCATTAATGCACCTGAGCATTCATTAATGTTTTCAACAGATACATCACACTGTTGGATAGTACTCAGGTACCCTATTCAGTCAGTCAAAACGAGGGTAATTTTATCACTTCAGCTTCTCTTGAGGCAGGTCTCTGTTTTAGTTGGCTATGGTTTATTTGTGGAAAACCCTGCTGGCCCCCAGTGATCACCTCTCTTTTCTAAGTGCACACACCGACTTTTTTATACAGTGTCTCAAGCATTTCCCTCTGTGGCTTCTAGAATCCACATTTTTCCCTCTTTCTGAAATGAAGATACTTACCCATCTGGAACTGGAGATTTTAACTCATGTAAGTTTTCTTATAACCTTCTGTTCTAATTCCAACTTCCATTTTCTCTCAGCAGTGTATGTTTTAACTTTTCCAACACAGCATTCTATTTGGTAGACAAGACAAAAGCAAAAGAGAAGTGGAGTAGTAGCACAACTGGATGGTTTAGAAAGAATCATAGAACATTAGAGCTAGAAGAGACCTTAAAGATCCTGACTATTAATTTACATATGAGGAAGAAGAGCCCTGAACTTAGAGCATGACCCAAGGTTACACAGGTTAGTGATAGATGGTACTAAGGCCCAGAAACCCGAATTCCAGAGGCTTACCTCGCACATTATAATTATTTATGAGTGTGTCATCAGAAATATAATTTTTTTAGAGTTTTCCATCTCTATGGAGTTGTATTATATTTTAGAACTTCAGCTCATGGAGCCATGCTTACCTTCTCTCTGAATTTGTGTTCTTTCTTTTTTGAGGGAAGAGTGTCTACTTTTTTAAAGGTTACTAAAAGTTAAAGGCTTGGCAGTTTGTTTTATAACAAACATTTATGAAGAGCTTACTAAATGCAAAGATAAATAAGATAGCATCACCGCCAGCAAGTGAGCAACAGCAAGAGAGACAGCGTGCGTGCAAGTGAGAGATTGACTTGAGAAAGACAGACATGGACATGAATAATACAAGTCAGCAAATATGTGTGGAGGATGGTCAGGGTAAGTGCTAAGTGTGAGCTGTGAATAGAACCCACCAGCTTTCAAGATTGAAAATTAGAAGCATGGCAGGGGACACCATTAAACTCCATCTAAATAAAATGGTTAGTGGTACTTAGAAACATGAAAACAGGTCTATCAAATGCAAATCTTAATCTGTCAACACACTGTTATATATACCTTTCAATTCAAACAATAGACAATGATGAAATACTTATGACATTATATTAAGTGGGAAAAGAAGCACACAAAATATATGTACTGCATGTTTTGTTGTTGTATGCCACTGAGTCTATTCTGACTCATAGGGGTCCTATAGGACAGAATAGAACTGTCTCATAGGGTTTTCTAGGCTGTAAGGAGCCCTAGTGGTGCAGTGGTTAAGAGCTATGGCTGCTAACCAAAAGGTTGGCCGTTCAAATCCACCAGCCGCTCCCTGAAAACCCATGGGGCAGTTCTACTCTGTCCTACTTGCTATGAATCAGAATTGAATCATCAGTAGTGGGTAATCTTTTCAGGAGCAGATTACCATGTCTTTTCTCCCGTGGAATGGCTGCTGGCTTTGAACCGCCAGCCTTTCAGTTAGCTTAACCATTGTACCACCAGAGCTCCATGTACTGCATAGTCATATTTATATTAATAGATTAAAAAAAAAAACACGTAAGAAAAACCTTTGCAAGAAATGTACCAAGTGCAAACAGCAGATGTATTATGGACAAGTGATGATTTTCATCATTTTAAAAAATATTCTTAAAAGTGGTTTGTTTTCATAATTTAAAAAAAAAAAGATAAATTGTAGGAAACCTTTATTTTCAACCTTTATTCCTTCCCAACATTCCTCTGCAACACAGAGTTGTGTTTCTCAACAGAAGAGGGACACGGTGAGCCTCCCTCAACTTCTCCACTTTGAGAGCCACTAAGGAAACAGGGACCTGTTACATAGATCAAGAGGAAGTTGTTTGAACAGAACAAGGGATTACTGCGTGGTTTAAAGTCAGGAAAGGTGTGCATCAGGGTAGTATCCTTTCACCATACCTATTCAATCTGTATGCTGAGCAAATAATCTGAGAAACTGGACTATATGAGAAGAACGGGGCATCAGGATTGGAGGAAGACTCATTAACAATTTGCAATATGCAGATGACACAACTGCTTGCTGAAAGTGAAGAGGAGTTGAAGCACTTACTGATGAAGATCAAAGGCCACAGCTCTCAGTATGGATTACACCTCAACATAAAGAAAACAAAAATCCTCACAACTGGACTAATAAGCAACATCACGATAAATGATGAAAAGCTTGAAGTTGTCAAGGATTTCATTTTACTTGGATCCACAGTCAGCATCCATGGAAGCAGCAGTCAAGAAATCAAAAGACGCATTGCATTGGGCAAATCTTTTGCAAAATACCCCTTTAAAGTATTCAAAAGTGAAGATGTCGCCTTGAAGATTAAGGTATAGGCCACGGTGTTTTCAATCACCTCATATGCGTGCGAAAGCTGGACGATGGATAAGGAAGAAAAATTGATGCCTTTGAAGTGTGTTGTTGGAGAAGAATATTGAATATACTGTGGACTGCTGGAAGAACGAACAAATCTGTCTTGGAAGAAGTATGACCAGAACGCTCCTTAGAAGCAAGGATGGCGAGACTACATCTCACATACTTTGGACATGTTATCAGGAGGGATCAGTCCCTGGAGAAGGACATTGCGCTTGGTAAAGTAGAGGGTTAGCAAAAAAGAGGAATACCCTCAATGAGTTACATTGACACAGTGGCTACAACAGTGGGCTTAAGCATAACAAGGACTGTGAGGATGGCACAGGACCAGGCAGTGTTTCATTCTGTTGTACATAGGGTCACTATGAATTGGAACTGAATTGACGGCACCTAACAACAACAAGGAAACAGGAATGCTGTCTTTAGACCAAGTGCTCCATTTTGTGGCCCTGCTTGCCCTTCCACCACGGGAAAGGCACCTGCCTTTACTCAGTGAGCTCAGGCAAGTTTCTTGTCCCCTCTAACTGTAAGA